GTCATTTGTCCCATTATTATTTGGCTTCCTCACAAAAATCTTTCTGCATTTCGTCTTTTGGACACTAAATCCCTTCACCATCCTGATTCTTTCCAAGATACACATTTGGATTTACTGATTTTGAGGGGACTGCAGCTCCTAGGTCCTATAGAGAAAAATCTGTTCTTGTCTTCAAGAGCAACTGGGCTTAAGTGTTCTGGGAAGGATGAGAGGCCATTATACAGAGAAATTAAAAAGCATGCTGAGAAGTAACGGGGCAGGAATGGGGCATCAGCTCGGAAATCAGCACTGCAGTTGCAGTTGTGACTCCATGGAGCAAAGCATCTGTAGATGGAAATATGCACACACAGACCCACAGATACACACACAGACACAGAGCTAATGACACCTGGATAGGTTTTTCAGCTAAAATTGGGCTTTGCACTGCATGTTCTGAGGAGCAAATAATAAGTATCATTTACATTTAACTTTCTATTATTTTTCATTAATTAAAAATGGTTCAGTTTTTCTTTCTGTGGGTGGAGTTGAAACCATTGACTTTGCTTTTGCTTAAGAAAAGAGACTGCTTGCAGCCCTATGCATTCATTTAATGGAGAGGAAGGGAGGGAGGGAGGGAGGGAAGGAGAGCAGGCAATTTTGAGTGTACAGTGCTACTGAGGGTGGTGACTGTTCAAATTCTCAAAACTACTCTTACTCCTCCTGAATGTACAACTGTACATTCTGGCCCCTCTTCCCTGTGGCTACCGCACAGAACCTAGTGCCAGCCTGAGTGTAGTTCAAGCATGGACTAAATGAATGTATTCCTGGTCCTTGTTGGAGTGTCCCTACCTGGAGTCTGCTTAGACCTGTGGCAGAGCAGCACCCTCACAGCACCCTGTGTTAAAGGAGCCAATGGCGCTTTCAGGAAATGCCCAGAGTGAGTCACCAGAGATATTTTCAAAGATTCACTGAAGGCACTAAAACAAGTTTTTGTCTTGGGTGAAAAAGATGTTCCAATTTATTTGGTAAGAGCCAACTTGGTGTCATGGTGAAGTTGGTGGACTAGAAATAAGGGAGACAGTAAGTTCTAGTCCTGCTTAGGCACAAAGCCAGCTGGGGACATGGGGCCAGTCCCTCTCAATCAGTCCTGGGAAGAAGGAGGCCAGGGCAAACCACTTCCAAAAATGTTGCTGAGAAAACTGCAAGGGCTTTTTCCAGGCAGTTACCAGGAGTCAAGACAGACTTGAAGGTATATATACACAAAAAAACAAACAGAACAAACCCCCCAAGAATATACAATCAGAACATGTATGTGAATGACTTCAAAACTGTACTTCAAATATTAATACAGTATCTATCTCTTTCTGACTCAGCAAAGCTAGGGCAAACCTGGACAGCATTTTAGTCCCCACTATTAGGTTTTGACAGTTTTACTAAAAGTCTAGCCAATGGACAATCTGTCCTGCCTTGTCATGATTTCATAGTCATGGTTTGCTACACAGAGGTCATCAGATAGTTGGGCCCAGTTTATAAAACCTAAGACCATAGTTGCACCTGAGGCTTTTAAGGGGGCAGTTAACTCTTTCTAGCCATTAAAAAAAAACAAACAGATGGACAAGAAGCTGTGTCTAAATTTATTTGCTACTTTGAAGGCAACATCTGATATTCCCTGAGACTACATAGATTAAAGTAAAGATTTATGTTAATGCCAAGGATTAAAAGAATTTTAATAGCATGCATAAAGATGTAAATGTGCTGTGTTCCATTTTTCCTGCAGACAAATGTGCCATAAGGGAGCTGTAGATGGAAGAGAATATATTCATATCCTGCAAATTGTAACATCTGGCTTAATTTTGCACTCATGTGTTCATTACATATTAGTTGTCTTCCACTGGTGCATTCTTGAAATCACAGTTTAATGTGGAATTATTTTTTCTCCCCTTTTGGAATTCCCTGGAGGGAACTGGAACTGGCTCCACAAAACAGCATTTTCTGCGAAATCCTGATTATCTGCTTATTCAGGAGTAGGTAGGGGCTTACACAGAACTCCCATTCTCCAACTTTTATTACTATGTAATTCAAACAGGGGCCAAGATCATACTGGAAAAATCATGTGCTTTATTAGGAACCCTGCCATTAGACGTAGAAATTTACTAAATGCAGAAATCATTGAAAAAATTATAGTGATGGAGACAGTTAAGCTGCATATGTATACGTTGCTAATTGTAAATTATGGTCTATCATTTTCCTGCTGCATCTGAGAAATTATTCTGCAACGGATCTTTTAAAAAATGCTTAGCGTGTACCGTCAACAGGCATCAGCAACTGATAATCATTTTCCATCAATTTTGCAGCCTAAGAAGATGTTAAAGCTGACAATTATATATTTGTATTTCTTGTTTTTAAAATGATTGAAACTAAGCAAAACATGGAAAGAGATATTATCACAAAAACTGGAAAACAGCAAAGTTCTTTGAAAAAACAGGTGGAGGAGATGCATCTGCGGAGACAAGTAGTTGACCTGAACATGGGAATTCATTTAGGCTCCACACTACAGCCACATGTTAGTTGGATTTACCAAAGCATTTATCATAGTATCTGCTAGAAAGAACCTTGAGGTTCATGAAACAGGATGGGGAGACAGGGCCTGTTAGATTGGCCCAGCCCAGGTGACTGATGGACTTTGTTGGGTTCCAGAGGGAGCTTTGGGATTTCCCCTGAGGATCTGCTGGGCAGTTTGGCTGATGCCTTGGTTACAGCTTGGAATAGGCAGGTGAATGAGGCCCTTGACTGGATTGTGTCTATGTGGCCTCTCTCTCTGTGCCAGTCCTGGGGTCCACCTTGGTTTTCTGGGGAGCTCCAGGAGATGAAGCACCAGAATTGATGCCTGTAGTGACACTAGAGAAAGACAAAGAGTGTATCTAACCAAACATGAGTGAGAGCCTGTATCTGGGCCTATATCATGGTGATAAGGGTGGCAAAACATTGTTATTGCTCCAACCTTACTATGTTTGCTGATAGCTGCCCAGTAGCTCTGTTTAGAGTAATCTACTCCCTGTTAGGAAGAGTTGGGTGGAGGACCATCTACAGGGCTGTGGTGAGGAGTTTTCATGCTATTTGGTGGATAAAATCACTCAACTACACTTGGAGTTGAACCCTGACTGGGCAAGTCCAAGTGAGTTGCCTGAGGTACAGGCTTGTGAGGTTGTCTGGATTGTGAGTTCTATTCTGTGACACTTGAGAATGTGAATAAAGTCCTCCAATCTGTCAGTCCAGCCACCTGTCTAGTTCCTGGCCCTTTCTGAGTTGTTAAGGTGGCCTGGAAGGTGACCAGGGGTTGGGTCCATGCAATTGTATCAGCATGTTTGAAGGAGGAGTGAGTGGTACCTCTGGCCTTGAAGGAGATTGTGGTGCGCCTCCTCCTCAAGAGGCCGTTGCTGACCCCCCCCCCCATTCTGGATAACTACTGGCCAGTTTCCAATCTTCCCTTTTTGAGGAAGGTTGTGGAGAAGGTGGTTGGATAGTAGTTGCAGAGGATGTTGGAGGAAAAGGATTATCTAGAACTGTTTCAGTCAGGTTTCAGTATGGAGACAGCACTAGTTGTGCTTGTCAATGATCTTTGGTGGAACTGGGATCAGGGAGGGAAATTCATCCTTGTGCTCCTTGATCTCTCTGTGGCTTTTGGTACTGTTGACCATTGTATCCTTCTGGACTGGCAAGGGGGGTTGGGAGTGGGAGGCACTGTGTAGCCATGGTTTGCCTCTTTCCTCAGTGGTTGTTCTCAGTCTCCTCTCAGGTGACAGGAGAGGAGAGATCATGACCACAGCCCCTCACTTGTAGGGTGCCTCAGGGTTTGATGCTTTCTCCCCTCCTGGTAAAAACACCTACATGAAATTGCTTGGGGGAGGTCATCTGTCAGTATGCTGATGATACCCAGCTGTACATCTCACCCCTGGGCTGTGCAGGTGAAACTGTTGATGCACTGACCTACTGCCTGAAGGCTATTTGGGTCTGGATGGGGTAAAACAGACTTTGGCTGAGAAGACTGAGTGGCAGTGGCTGTTTTGTCTCCCTGGGTTGGGGACATCTCCATTGTTGGCCTTGGATGGGGCCGCACTTTCCCATTCAAGACAAATGTGCAACCTGAGGGTCCTCCTGGACTCTAATCTCCTGCTTGAAGGGCGGGTGGCAACTGTGGCCAGGCAGGCCTTTGCACAGGTTTATCTTGTGCAATAGTTGTGCCCTTTCCGTGACCAGGAAGCCCTTCAGATGGTCACCCAGGTCCTGGTTACCTCACAATTGAAGTACTGCATATGGTAGTGTAAGTGTATATGGGGCTGGCCTTGAAAACCATCCAGAAGCTACAGCTGGTTCAAAATTCAGTGGCATGAGCAGTAAAGGGCACTTCACTTTATGCCCATGTGTCACCACTCCTATGTGAGGTTCATTGGTTGCTAGTAGGCTTCTCGGTGCAATTCAAGGTGGGGGTCGCCACCTATAAAGACTTCCATGGCACAGGGCCTGGTTAGTTGAGGGACTGCCTATCTCCAATAGTTTCTGCCTACCTGGTACATTTGGGCAGAGTGGGTGTGCTCCAGGTCCCTTCAATTAAATGCTGCTATCTTGTGGGACCATGGAAGCATGCCTTCTCTGTCACAGCCCTACCCTCTGGAACAGCATCCCCCCAGAGATACTGTATGGACGGTGCCCACTCTCGGGGTTCTGGAAAGCCCTTAAGGCCTGGCTCCATTCCCAGGCCTGGGGTTAATGCATTTGTTATGTATTGGTAGGGCCCCTGTTGTATTTTTGTACTGTTTATTGTTATAGCTGTTTTAGTCAGGGTTGTGTGTTTATGTGTGTATTAACTATTTTAATTGTTCTACTGTTTTTTCAGTATTGTAATCCTCCCAGAGTCTTCTGGAATAGGTGGCCACAACAAATCTAATCAATTAAATTAAATTAAATTAAATTAAATTAAATTAAATTAAATTAAATTAAATTAATCTGTTCCTAACCATGATGATGCCAAAGTGGTGAAATGTGCACTGTGACGTGATAATGCAAATTCCATCCTTCTGCATTTGTTTTGTGATGTTCCAGACAAAACAGAAGGGGTGGAGCTTGGATTGTGACATTGTGAGGGATACTTTATCAGCCTTCCCTACCCTCCCCAACTCATGTAGACATCTATGGGAGAACTGAAGATTGATGGGAATGTGAATTACAGATCAACCAGTTTAACCTTCTGGTTAGGGTTAGGTTAGCTCAGTCCTGTAGCTTATGTATTAGCATAAATGTCTGTCACACAAAGTTGCATAGGAGGAGCTCCACAAGGCTGCAACCAATGGTTTTCAGCTCACCCCCACTTAATACAGGTCTTCAAAAGGCTTTGAGTAATTAAACATTAGATAATCCATATAATAGAAATCGTAGCTACGCTGCCTTTGAGAAGGAGAAAGCTGTGTAAAATATTGTTGTGTGATCTGACTGGTTGTCCTCTCTTCATTGGAATGTCTATCTTTAAACCTAGGAAAAGTCAAGTTCTGTGGGGCATTTATCAAATGAAGGAAGAAGTTGGCATCTTCTTCCATGGTTTCGAATTTTCCAATAAAATCATAGTCTACTAAGCAAGGACTACAGAGCCTGTTGATATGATCCCAGTGGATGTCCATGCCAACTGGCCGGTGCACATCAAGAAGATATTGAATGAACTCTTTGAACTGTACTCCAGAGCCCGTCCTCAGAGCCTCCTTGGTGGCATTGGTGCGATATTTTGAAATAATGGGTCTACCAAAAACAGGATGGTAATAATTGTTCGGATGCTCAAATTTGTCTCGAAATGCTGACACTAACTTCTCAAAGGGTTCACGAACAAACAGCATCTTAGTGTAAGTATTAAGCCTGTAGTTGATCCCTTTGCGATCAAAGCCATCCAGCTTCTTCAGATAATTCCCATAATGCACTGTATTGTGCTGAAGAACCCTGGTTGAGGAGGCCAGTCCACTCAGAACCATGAGCACTCTCTTCCAGTTGGAGCAGCCAGCTTTAGGAACTTCACAATATAAAATTCGATATTTATCTTCAACAAATATCCTGGAAACATGATAAGGTGTGATGACTCTTTTGTTGTTGCTCTTGTATTTGAAACATGTGTCTCTCATGATGCGTTTTCTCTCTCTTTGGATCTCATAGAGGCTTCTCCACTTCAGATCATCTTTCTCCTCTGCTTTCAGGATGGGCAGGTTGAGGAAGGAGCCATTAACCGCAATCTGGATGGGGCTTCTTTTGAGGACAATTTTCCTCCTTCGTTGATGGGACCTGGCAGGATTAGCAGCTGAACCTTTCCACTGTCGGTCTTGAATCCTTGCTAAAGCCTTCTGGGTTTGGCCTGAGCTTTGATGCTTCATAGACTCATCTTGCATGGGATGTAATGAGGCCCTCTGATTTACAATCGGGAAGTCATCTTCTGGATTTGCCTGCATTTTCCCACCCAGATCATTGCTCGATGTACCTTCCTAATGGAAGAAAAGAACCAAGGCATTAGCAAATGAAGCAGCATTCATCACAGCAGACAGCTTGTAGAGCTTAATGATGCCAGCGATTTGTACCGTTTTAGTTCAGCCAAACTTCGGCATGCAGTGCATTGCTTTATGCACAGTGCGGAGGCTGCAGTAATGATTCTTTTACCTTCTGCTTTTGAATGTATTGCTACTAATCTGAACATCAGTTCTAGAGCTAAACCTGAGATCTCAGCTAGGGAACAGGTATACTATTTTTCAGAGCTTAGATGCAACTGGAGTGACATTTTTGTTTTGGAAGGTTTTGCCTTCTGACAGCGGTGTTTCAGGACGTGGGGGAGCAAACACTGGAAGATGGCAGCCATGGCAATGTGATTAAAGCCCCACGCCCTTTGTATGTATGGCAAAAGGGGCAGGGCTTAAGCACAATGCCACATTGCCATCTTGGAGACTTTGATTCCCCTTCCTTGCAGATGTCCTCGCTCTCAAAGCTGAACATCGAAGGAAGTGTAGAAATCGATTCTGTATAGAAGTGAAAATAACCATTATTTCTGCAGGGCTGCAGGGCTCCCACTTGTATGCTAAACTGGAATGGTTCCCAATTTATAGATGCCTACAGTGGGAAGGGGCCCCGAGGCCATCAGGTCCAACCCTTTGCTCAGTGCAAGAATCCCAGCTAAAGCATCCCAGCCAAATGGCTGTCCAGCCTGTGTGTGAACACATTCAGCAATAAAGGGGAGCCCAGCTTCCTTCTAGGTCAGTGGTTCCATTCTTGTTAAGAAAATGTTTTTTATAACATGCTCACATTTTTCTGCATCCTGCACTTGAAATGGTGGAGAAGAGATCTTGAGCATCCTCCATTTCTGTGAAGCAGGCAATCAGTTTATTACACCTTTTGGATCCCCAAACATACCCTTAATATAACATTATCCTGGAGCATGGCAGTGTGCAGGAGAGGAACTTGCAGGGACATCTACAGGGCATGTCAAGAAAATCAAGAGAGGGACCATGATTGTGTGATTGAAGTCCCGGCCCTTTTCTATGTGTATTGCACATGTGACTTGATTTTCTTGATCCCCCCCTTCCCCAGGTCAGCCCCATGAACATCTGTGCTTATCCTAGACAGTCTGGTCAACTCTGACTCTGTTAGCCACAGAATGGCTGTGTTTGGGCAATGTGCTGGGCCAGGCTAAAATTGGTTAATTTGTGGGTGAGTATGTTACGAGAAACCAGCCACTGACTTTGCATGTTCTGAAATTGAGGCAATCACATCAAGCTGTCAAGAGTTCTCTGCTTGGCCGTGATGTTCTACAAGCACAGAAACTCTTGTTGGTTATTAGGATTTACAGTTTAGTGTGTTGCAAGAAGTCAGCCAAGTTGCTCACTATTGCATGATAGGGCTGGGTGAATATTTGTTTGTTTATTTATTTATTTATTGGATTTATATGGCCGCCCAACTCACAAAAATGCAACTCTGGGTGGCATACAGCAATAAAAACAGAATTACAATATGTCAATTTCCATTTCTTTCAGACATAGTTTTCCAATTACAGTATGTCAAATTTGTTTTTTAAGTTTCTCAATTGTGTGAATAAGGCAAACTATCATAATATTTGTCAACTTGAGGACATTTTTAGGACTAAAATGTGTATATATTTTGATGCAAATTTCTCCAGGCATATTCATTTTTACTTGCAATGTAGCCTCATCTAGATATATTAGTAAAGACATTTCTGGAATATAAATGCATTTTTATTCATACTTTTCATACATGTGTTTGTGTTTGTGTTTGTGTATGTGTATGTATGTATGGAGAGTTATACATACTTTTAACTAATGATTTACAACTTTTGATTTATAGCTAATTAGAACTTAGTTGGTGGCAACTTGTGGCACTTCAGAATTCACCAAGTTTGCATTCAAATGTGAATCCCCCTGCCCCCAGCAATTCCCCTCACCCCAGCAGACACCAGGGGCTCACACTCCCTCCATTCTCCTGCAGTTACTTAAGTAACAGTGGGAATGAGGGACTTTGCATTATTCCAGGTGATTCCCAAAGGCATGACTTGATTTCCCCTGCACTTCTTAACCATAACTCTGGGTGGTTGCGAACAGCAAAACACCAGCAGGGGGAGCATTTTCGCCAATGTCTTTTTCATTTGGAATGAACTGGGTGACTTGAAGAAGTTTTTCATTAGCCATATTTGATGCAAAATTGGTTATGTGCAGTATTTCTTGTGAGAGCGCATTAGATTTATCCAGCCTAACCAACTTTCAAAAAGTATATTTCAACAGCTTAATAAATTGAGAGGACATAATGAGGGAATTTGCATTCATGGAAAGATCCTTCCCTCTTCAGGCTGTCTTCCTTTCACCCAGCCTTCCCCATGGATTTCAGAAAGAAAAGAAAAGAAAAGGCAGCTTACTCTTTTAGCTTCCTGAGACCCCTTGCCATATCTCATTCCTAAAGAAAGAAGAAACAAAGGGTTGTCACAAGTGGGGTCTGCACAAAAAGTTGCATCATCTTTCATGGGTTATCTAGTGGTGCACTTTCCTCTAACAAGGGCTTTTTACTGTCCCCCCCCCCCTTTCATTTTCTATCTATCTCCAAACACTTCAATATTCTGACCTTAATCCTCAGCCTTCTCCTGGGTCAGCTTCCAGAGGGGTTGGGGTACCCTCCAAGCCAGGAGGATGGGGGCAGGCAACAGGAAAACAAATCCATAATAATGCTAATCTGTAACAAAGGGTTTATTCTGCCTGTGAATTACAAGTGTATGAAAGTCTAAACAGGCAGCATAGTTAGGCTAATCAGTTGCTTTAATGAGAGGCATTTGAGCTTTTTTACTTCTTTGAAATCCAATTCTGCCTTCTGTCTTTCTTTTCCAAAGCCAGCTTGCACGTGGCAATTCCCAGCAGCTCACATATCCACAAGAAATTCATAATGGCTGGGTTCCCACAACACTGAATTCATTTAAATGGGAGGAGCAGGTTGTGGTCCTGTAGTTTGTAGGACCCAGCCTTGCCTTAGCCATGTGAACCCTATCATCTCTCTCTCTCTCTCTCTCTCTCTCTCTCTCTCTCTTTTCTCTATCTATCTCTCTCTATATCTATATATCTATCTATCTATCTATCTATCTATCTATCTATCTATCATCACTTTATGGGAATACAGCAATTGTCAACCTAGCTTATAGTTAAATGTGTCATGTGAACTTAGCCAATGTATCCCTGCCACATCCAGGTGGATTCATGCCATCATCTCTTCAATGCAGTGGCTTTGTCCATATCTATTTAAGACTGAAGAAGCGGGGGGGGGGGGGCATAGAGAGTATCTCCTCTGGATGTGCTTCCCAATTGTGCTCCACGTGCTGCCCATGTGCTGCTTAATCCTTAGGCCATATCCTCCCACTGTCCAGGTGGTATAAAAATACTAGGCCCTGTGACTCAAGAATAATCTGTTTTGAATCAGCAATTCAGTTGTTTCAATTTGACCTCACAATTTTAATCAATTTGGAAAAAGTCATCTTTGGAGATGTGCAGAATTGCCCAAACAATCAAAATCAATCTGGATGCATCTGATGCAATTTGATGGTTCAGCTTGAATTTCTCATTCAATTCAGGAAGTCAATTCGATTTGGGGATTTGATCAAATGACCTTAAAATTGAATTGACTTTTTTGGAGAGCTCTAAAAACAGGTTTGGTATATATACTACTTCACCATTTTCCCTCATTAAGGTCCCTTAGATTTGTGAGTAAACTTAACAGTTGCAAGGATGGAGGACTTGTCCTTTTACAGATTTCTTAATTCTTCAAGAAACAGAAAACTAAGTGTAGGAATCAATGGGCAATTTTTTCAGTAAAGGGAAGTGAAGATGGAGTCCCTCAAGGATCTGTGCTGGAATTAGGGCTTTTAAAAAGTGTTTATAAATGTCTTGAATTGGGGATAAATACAGAGTTGGTCATGCTTACAGATGATACCAAATGATTCAGGGTGAGGAACACTAAAGGTGATTGTAAAGAACTCTAGAACAATCTTTTTAAACTGGCTGAATGGGGTATGAGCTGTCTGTAACTGAGCAGGAAAAAGATCTTGGGACCAACTCAGTGAGGAAGATTTGAAAAAGGCAAATCCACCCTAAGGATCTTTTGGAAAGGGACTGGAAATAAAACTGCCAGTGTTATAATGTCCTTATACAAAACTATGGTATGTCTGCATGTGGAATATTATTTATTTATTTATTTATATTTCAAATGCATCACTGCCCATCTCACTGCAGAGTTATGAAGTTATTGTTGGTGCATTTGAAAAATGATGTAATAAGTATGGGAAAAGTAGAGGAGCTGCTCCAAAACCTTCCCCATGAGAAGGCATTTGGAGTTCTTTTGCTTAAAAGGTGACTTAGGGATGAGCTTGGAGTGGATAACTGTGTTGCTTAGAGAAAATGGGAGACTAGGCCAGGGATCAATCAATGAAGTTGCCTGGCAGGTGATTTAAAACAAATAAAAGGAAGTCCCTCCTCCTACAGCACATAACTGACCAGTGGAATTAATTATGACAAGATAGGAGAATGGCCACTAGCTTTGATAGCTTTAAAGAGAAGTGGATAAATTCATGGAGGACAAGTCTAATAGCCCTTGACAGGTCCATTCTTCTTCAATTTATTCAATACTTTTTTAAAGCCACCAAAACTGGTGGCCACTGAGACCCAATGTTACCCCAAGGTTGGGGGCCAACCACTTCCAAATCCCAGTTGCAGATGAGCTATGGTGGGAGAAGAGCAGGACCCCTGCCTGAAAATCTCCCCTCTCCCCCAGCATCTGGTTGGCCTCGATGAGAACAAAATGCTGGACTAAGAGGAGCAGCCTTCTCCTGATTCCGTGGGACTGTTCTGAGCAATGAAGGACCTTGGTTAGATCAGGGTGTCCTCCAGAAAATGAGTGGTCTGAAAAGCACAGGAGTTGGAGACTTCTGAGAGCAGGGACCAGCTGGTAGGTTGGTTGCTACCTGGGGCTTGGGTCACTTTGGGGATTCCATGCTGGATTGCAGGATTTGGACCATACCCCATTTATCTCATGAACTGCTGACAATTCTGGCTCTATAGCGGAAACACTCAAAGGTAGGACCTTTCAAAACTGGCCACTCCTGGGAGAGAAGTTCACCATTCTGTGTTCTCGATTCTTTGTCCATTGTTTAATTCATAACTGGCACAGCATTCCCCTTTATTTTCTTTAGGGCTACAGCCAGCAAGGAAGGAAAGTAAGCCTATTCCTAGCCCTGCAGAAATCTGCCTTGTCTTTGTCCATCCCCATTCACCCCCTTGTTCTAGAAAGCTTTATGCAAGCATCTAATTCTGCCTAATTTGTCTATCTAATTCTCCAGGTGTTTCTGGAGCATCTTCCAAGGCCATCCTGAGAAATGATGCTTGCTATAGGTTCATAGGGTACTGTTGTACCACCAACAGTGCCCATCAGAGAGGTAGCACAACCCACAGCTCACCTTTGCCTTTGGCCAGGGTGCCAGACAGCTAACGAGGCTGGGATCCCTGATTTTCAGCACAAAACGGAATGCAACTCCCTTTCCCTCCCTCCTAGTGAATGTGACTGACATTGTGCATCTCCCTAGAAAAGATGCTGCCACTTGTCACTGTCAGAGTTGCCTGGGGAAGCATCAGTTTAATTAATGGGGCCCTGCAATCGCTGGACTTTTGACAAGGAGAATTGCAGGTTGGTGTCTGTTACATGATAGCAGGAACACCGTTTGGAAAGCAAAGCTCAGTCCCATCACATTAATTTTTAATTGAAGCCTCCTCTGCTTTCTTTGGCCTGGCTGGGGAGCAGGTGGACAGCTACTTGTTACTCTTCCTCAGCTGAGTGATCACAGCAGGATGGGCCATGCTCAGGAGCCATTAACTCAAGTGAGCCACATCCAGGGTTGCATTTTAGGAGGCAGTGAAACATGATTGGGACCCTGCCATCCTTCTAACTCAGGGGTTGGCAAACTACTCCCGTGGGCCAAATCCAGCTCACTTCCTATGGCTCACAAGCTAAGAATGGATGGGTGGGCAGGTGATGGATCACCATATGTCTGAGCCTTAGCTGAGCTCCCCAGGCAAGTGGCAGGGCTGAGAGCTGGGGTGTCCTGGGCGGTGACAATCTATCAGTGGTCACCTTGCTGGTAGAGTGGTGCTCTCCTTGGCCTACAGACCTACCAACCATGCCTGAGGAGGTGGAGAAGCAGTGGGATCTGGCCCCTTACAGAAAAGGTTTGCCAAGCCCTGTTCTAACCTCATTTTCCAACTTCACTTGTAGGTCTCCACTCCATTACCCCAAAGTAACAGTCTTGTTTGGGCCTCATCCTCCCTAGAGTCTGGACAAAGTCTGCTGAAAGCTGATGACACCATTTTCTGGCATTTTCCAATGACAAAAAAGATGTAAAGCATCATGAAAGCCCTGAAAGGCACATCACAGTTGAAAAACAAATGAAGGAGCCATCCAAAACTACCCCTTCAAACTTTGATCAAGGCATCTTACAACAATAAAACAAAATTTATAAAGTACAGAACTGAAGAATAAAGTCAAGAAAATTAAAATCAAACTTAAAATCAGGACAATTAAAATCAGTCTAAGAGAAGCTTGCTGAAAGAGATTAGGTTCTGCCGTTTTCCTAAAAACTGGGAGTGTGAAAGCCAAACGCTTCTCTGGAGAGAGCATAATTCCAGCTTTTCCTGCCAGCAGTGCAAAGTTATTTAACCAAAAAAAAAAAAAAAAAGGAGGGGGGGGCTCTTTTTTAAAAAAAAAAAAAAAAAAAAAAGGAGGTGGGGGATCTTTATTAAAAAAACAAAACACCAAAATCCTGATTTCACACCTGGGGGAA